CTGAACCAGTCTCCACTTTGCCTCTTTCTCCTGATGAAGTACAAGACTTCTGGGAACACCAGCAAAATGGGCCCAGGGAAAGCTTACACTTTCCTCATTTCCTTCTGCTAAGCAATACTTGGTAAAACACATCGCTTGCTGATAGCCAGATGTGCAACTGCCCCAAACTTTTGCTTTAAGCATACAGGGAAAAAATGAGGTGACCGAGTTGGACTCTGACTAAGACCCACCAAGGCGGGTGCTGAGGCTGCTCCCATCACTCCCAACCCCTCTGCAACCCACAGAAGTCAGCGGTTCCCACTCAATAGCTGCCCAGCTGCCTGTGAACCAGGCTGGGGAGCTGAGCGACAGACACACCGGGTGTCATGCACCTGTGCCACTCGGCTCAAGCCACCAGCACGCCACAGACAAGACTGGCATTCCCGAGGGCACGGGGTATTCGTTCATTCCCCAGTCTTTCCTACATTCGGGTGAAAGCAAAATTTGCCTGAAGCTTGCAAGGCAGAAGCAGGAAGGAAAGAGATCCTTGTTTTGTCCTCGACACAGATAAGGCAGCAAAGAGAAATTATGGTAAGAATTTGCCTCCCGAGTCCACAGAGAGGAACTCGGAAAACTCAGAAATGCAAATACAAAGCTGCACTGTGAAGAAAACGGGACTCATTGGGGTAGAAAGCTGTCCTACACGCTGGTCCCAAAAACAAAAATGAAAAACCCCAAACCACACCACCAAAAAAAAGCACTGCAAAGCTCCTGAGCTCTGCAGAAGAGCATAGGATTTTGTTGGCACCTCCCTGCAGTTTCCAGACTCTCCTGACAGCCTGTTATGGGACGAGATGGGGCAGTTCAGCTGCACGGCTCGGCCGGCCAGACCCAGCCACCGGGAGAGGACGTGGTGCAGGAAGTTCTCTGTAGGCTCTTTCGCTTACTAAATTCCAGTTTGTATTTTAGACAGGAGTTTTTGGTTTTTTATTGTTTTATACATGAGCTGCTATTAGCTCCACAGAAACTGAATACTTCGCTGAACTGCTCCCCACTTCAGAATACAGTACAGTCTCTGCAACAGTAAATGGAGAGGGAAAAAGAGAGAGAGAGAGATGCATGTGTGCGCACACACATTATTACGCTGAATCCTACTCTCTGGCTTGCCAAGTATTTCACTCACCTGCTAAATCACTCACCTGCATTTTTGAGACAGTTATCTTTTCACGCAGGGTCGGACTGGCCAGGACAGACTAGCATAGTGACCCACGAGCCTGCAAGTGGCAGCAAGTTTGCTCGCAGAAGCTTCCTTTACTTTGGCACCCAAGCAGAAACACCCAGCCAAATCATAAGGTCCTGTTCATGACTTCCAGGACTTTCAGAGTAACCTACCTGTCAGATAGTGCCACTGCTCTGTGAACTCCATGAACAGCCCAAAAGAGTCTTCATTTTGGAGTCTCCAGAGCAAGCTTTGTCCTTGCTGCATATACGTTGGCGCTGCGTATTTAAAGAAGCTTACTGACTCTCATTCAGTGTAGCAGTTGTGCTCCAGCATCGTAATGGACTTCAATATAGGAAACATAAGTACACCTGTCTGTTAATCCTTACTCTCAAAGGAGCTAGGTCCTGTGAGTCTGACGGATGTAGGTCATTCCCATAAAGCCCCATTTTGGCATCAGCTAGATGCAGGTGCTTCTTTTGCTAAAGCAAGAGCTCAGTTACCTTAGGAGTTTAGCTTGGCCCCTTACTGATCAGAGATCTGAAGATACAAGGATTTCTGTACCAACTGCTGTATAGGTATGACCTGCAACATCCCCACCACAGAGAACCACCAAGCCACTTTCACTTTCCTTGGACATGCAGAAATACTTGTTTAGGAACAGAATTCATCCAAAGTCAATTATCCAAAGTTTGAACGAGCAGCAGTTACAAAGATGGATTTTAAGAAGCAACCTTTTAAAAATTATATAATATAATTTGTTTTCAATATATAATTAGCTAGCTGAAAAATAAAAGCTCAAATGAAAGTTACCCATGATGCAGACTGCAAACCAGCATTATGAGCACACAAACCGGAGATGCAGACTTATCAGAACGCAATGTTCAAGAGCGGGTTACAAAGTTCAGAAATGCTGCTGAGCGTTTCACATGCTTTAACCTGGAGACCGGAACAAACTCTTTCACAGAGGGAAAAAGGAACAATCAAAAATAAACCAGCAAACTCATTCACCCAGGAGAAATAGTACTGGACTTCCCGCCACCTGACTGACAGCAATAACAACGAGCAAGTAAATGCAGTTCTGGTACATGCTTTGCTCCCCCTGTTGGCTTTGTTTTTATCCTCCTACTTGACCACGTACTCCAGAGGCCGCGAGGAACAGATAGTAACAGACAACTTAACAGGGCCTGACCACACTTTCACTGAAATCCTTACCACAAAGGTCACCGATTTCAGTTCGGTAAGAGGAACTGCTGGAACATATGTAGCATGCGAAACTTCATCTGCTGAGCTCTGTAAAGCACCACCAGAGATGGATCTCTGGAATAAATTCCGTAATAGCCTCTACTGTGACCTACAAAGTTAACAAAACATAATAAACCACACCAAACACAACCACCTGGTGTTAACTATACAGTAAGAACATTTATTTCGTGTCGACACTTGTAAAAGAAGGCTCTTCCAAGTCAGATGATTTGATATACAAATCGAAGCCACCATACGTTTCTCTTTTTAGTTTGTCTACACTGAGCTCAAATTTATACAACATGAGTGCTTGCTTCTGAAACAAAATTACAAATTAAATCATAACAAAATACACAAAATTGACTGGACCCTAAGTTTAAATTACTGAAAGAATTCTTCTTTCCTCTGATCACCTTGAGCTTCGCTCTTCCCCATCGTTGTCCTCTTCCTTTTGCTTGGCCATGAATTTCTGTAAAAGTAAGTGTTTTAAGAAGTCTTATTGGGTAGCCAGGGAAAAGATTATTCTTCATGGCATGATATGACCATGTTTTGAATATACTGCAGATTTCATAAAAGTATCACTCAAAAGGCAGCCAACTCCTGACAACGATAATGTGAGTTCTATACCAAAAAGAAAAAACTCAACACTTTTGCTCACAAACTGACTCTTACACACACACCATCAAATGCCGATTACTGATCACGCTAAAGCTCCTGAGTGCAATTTTGACTAAGCCTAAGCCAAAGGATTAGGAAACAGGAGTTCATTTGCTGCTGGATACCTGTCTCTGGTCATCAGATAAAAATTATCAATTCAGCATTCACCACAGGCTGCACATTCATTACATCCAGCTTTCAAAAATCTACATCAATATCTTCATAGTTTTCTACTCTTTTACACATACACACACTCCCCAGCATCTCCTCACAGGAAGGAGATGCCTATTCCCCCCAACTAGGTACCTACTATATCCCCGTCTCCCAGATGCACCAGCAATATGTACTGATGAGGGCTGGGGGGGCTTCTGACCATAAATCTAAGTTTTCTGGAAGCCTGATATTTTGGTTATTTGATATCTGTGACATATTTCAGTCAGTTTGCAGCTTCAGGAAGCCATGAAATTTGACCAAATTAGGCTTTTGGACACATCACTGGGTATTTTTTAAGTATCGTTTTTTAAATCATTTTTTAAAAAATGGAGGGAAGAACGACTGTTCCCGTGCCTTCCTAGGCAGGGAAGACTATGTAGATAATGAGCTCGACTAATTTAAGGAGTTAAAAAATGTGTTTCAATTTAAGGCTAACAGCCCTGAGCTACTAAGGTAAGCTCCATAAGCCAACAGGAAATTATTTGCAGTCAGTAAAGCAAACATTTTTGACGCTATATGCTTTCCTTCCTCCTCCCCATGTGTCTGGAGATGCCTCTGCATTACCTCCATATTTTGCTGATGAAGTGGAGTCTTGCAGTGATTTTTCACAGACATTTCATCTGCATAGAATAGAGAACAGATCTGACAGAAAAAGCCAGCCTTTGGAACAAGGAAATCTAAATCTGAAAGAGACAGTAAGCAACGTCCCATTAACAAAACACAACTCAAACACACAAAACACACACATACCAGATCCAATCAGCCAAATTCGTACTTTTTTTTTTTTTTTTTTTTCCTGGAGGAAAATTAGTTACATTTTTTTCAGTGTTCTGAAAATAGGCTTCTAGTCACCTGCCTTACTTCCAATAAACAGAGAAGGGGACGCGCTTTTCTTTAGAGAGAACAAAAGACATTCTGGATCTGAAATCCACCGCAACTATCTTATTTAAAGCATTTTACATATAATTCCTTTGCCAAGTTTAATCTCTGTCCTACAGTGGGTCATATGAGCATTTTCTATCACAGAGAATCTTACACAAACATCCGGCAAGGATCCATATTTCCTAGCAACTTCTTTTACACATCAAGGATTATTAACAGTTTTATATAAAAGCATATTGGGTGTGGATCTTGGGATACACATTTTAAAAATGAAGCAAGTAGTTTCCAAATTCCTATACACTGAGACAAAGTTGGTAACACAACTTGTACTGGGATGAGAATAGTAAGTAGATATTATGCTACATTGTGTTAATTCTAAAATAGACTATATTTTAATTAAATTTTAGGAAAAATGAACTTTTAACTCTGCTGCTATTAAGCCAGCAATAGGAACATATGTTAAATGTGGATGTGTAAGGGTCAAAATAAAAACATGGATTACACATCGTGGCTTTTAAATTAATGTCGTTGTACGAGGCATTTTTAAATGCAAAAGATGACTGTCTTTAACAAGAACAGCATGCAGTGTTTGGGGTGAGCTTTTTTGTTTTTACCTCTTGCAGTACTCTGTGTCTTTGATGCATCTGAAGAATCCATTTTCTTTCGCTTACACTCTGGTTCTTTACTTCCTGATCCCAGGTGATCTTCTGGGGGCCATAAAAGCACATTAAAACAAATATTTCTACTTGTTTAGAGGTATTCTGTTCACAAAACAAACGCCATCTGTACGACCCCGGCTGTTTTCTACAGTTTGGTTTGGTCTTTCCATATAGCAATTTTCAGAAACTTCTGACATCAAGCCACCAGACAAAACTTTTAATTACAACACAGCTGTTGGAGTGAGTCAGTCTGCACGTGTTCCTGACAACACGGCATTCACTACAGAAGTAACAGCACTGCTCTGAGCTGCTTTCCGCTGGAGTTCTCATCAATGGCTTCATCGCAACTTTGTGATTACGATCACAAAAATCTGAACTTCTTCATAAAACATGCTACCGAGCTTTCTTGAATTAATCCAGCTCCAGGTCCAAGAGCGCTATTTCAACTTAAACCTAACAGAAAACAAATCCTTGCTTTTAAAAACTGTTTCAGAAAACTGTTTATAATCTGTTTTCAATTTTGCTCTTGGAATCAGATGTTAAGCCATCCACTAATAGGTTTTTACCTGCTTTACTTTCTCTTCCCAGTTTTCCTGCTCTGCTTCTCAAATTCAGGAAGGAGTAGTTCTTTCCTAGGTCTACCTCTTTTGCTCAAAAATTTTAATACATAGGCATAGCCTTCACCCAAGTTGTGGTCAAGTCTTTTTTGTGTTCAGGTTATAGAACCCCCCCTACTTTGATCTGTATTAGACCTGTCATAACCCTTTCTTAAGTACATATTAAGGATGTTTTTCTAGATCCAGCTTGGAGGCTGCTGCCTCTTTGCATCCAGGTGTGTCTCATTTGACACATTTGTTTTCAATAAAGCCCCCTCTGACTTTGACCATCATAAACACCAAAAGAACATTTTCAAAACAACGTGTTACTTAATTTTGCACTAAAAGAAAGGTGCACTCTAATATGGGTTAATAAAACAGACCCCACCTTCAGGCTGCTGTTCGCTGTCAGTCTCTGTTTCTTTTGTAGCATCTCTTTCATGAACTTTGACAAAAATTTCACACTTTTCAGCTTCCTCTTTATTTGCTACAGGGATCTCTCTGTCCTTTTCCTGTCCCTCTGCTGCAACCATCTTATTTTCTATTTCCCCTCTGGAAGCTACGAGAGGTTCCTTTCCTTTTGACTTTGAGATCGAAATAATTTCTTCTTCTGGACTCATGTCTCCTAGAATTTCCATTTCTTCTGGTCCTGCTACAGCAACAATATCTTCCTCTTCCGTTTCTGCAGTAGCAGCAGTATCTTCCTCTTCTGGTCCTGCAACAGCAACAATATCTTCATCTTCATCCTCATTCAGATTTTTCCCTATGAAAGGGTTTTCTTCTTCCTCATCCTCCTCTCCAACTTCATCTACTGTAACAAAGTTTAGTTCCTCTTTTAAACGATTGAAATCGGCCAGAAAGTCATCTTCATCTTCATTGACTTCATCTAAAGTCACGAGAGGGGTATCCTCATTGTCCTCCTGTATTTCATCTACTGTCACTAAAGCACTGGGATCATCAGGCACCTGAGAGGAAACAAAATCTCCAGAATCCTCCACAGTCACTTTATCATCTTCCTTTTGTTTCATTGCATCCTCGATGTGTAAATCCGTAGGCTCATTCAGAGGAAGCTCTTCCACTTCCCCTATTTCATCTACAGTTACTAAGGGTTCCGCTTTCAAATCTTGCTCCTCAAAAACTGACCTAGGGACATCTTTACGAAAACTAAGGTCCTCCTGTTCAGATATTTCATCTAAAGTAACAAGTGACTGTGGGTCCTTTACTGCTTCTCCTGTAAGTTCTTCCTCTTCAACTACTTCATCCACAACAACCAGGCCCTGTGGATCAGCTAGTGCATCTAAATTAGCAACTCCCATTAGTTGGGCAGTCACATCCTCCTCTTCCCCAATTTCATCCAAAGTGACAAAAGACAGTTCGCTTTCAGCAACGCGTGCTATGGAGCTTTTCCCTTTCCTTCTTTTAGAACTAGGCTCAGAAGAGTTATTTTTAGAACCATCTTTTCTCTTCCCCCTCGGTGGATTTCTACGGGTTTTAACAGGAGATTCAACTTCCTCTGTTACTTCATCCACGGTAACAAACTCATCCAGGTTAAATGGAAAAAGCTCTTCTTCCTATGAAGCATAAAAATAGGAATTTAACAAAGCCCACCTAATGACCCAAGCACCCCCAACCTCAGGGTGCCTAATGAAAAATATCTACAAATCGAAGTTGACTGAAGGGAAAAAAATCCAAATAGACTTCAGGGTAGGAAAATAAAAATAAAAATTAAAAAAAACAGGCCTTCAGTCTCCTGTGCAACTTTTTCAGTATCAGCAGTTGTGTTAAGTAAGCAGATGGCATCCAGAAATCCAGAGCATTTTTCAAAAACACAGTTGGATGAACGGACAAAAACGCATGCTTTCATTAAAACATTGGGCCAACGATCTGCATACTCATGTATATTTTTACCTACACTTGCAGGAAGACTAGTGAAAATCTGAATACCTCAAGAGTATCCTTGGAAAACATTATCTTCTTGTCGTATCTCATACCTCTTCCCTAAGTATATGCTGTTGGCCACTGTTACAAAATAGGATACTACATTAGATGGTTTGATCCAGTAAAATCATCCTCACATAAGCTTCTACACATCAGCAGCTAAGCAATTTTCTGACCACAGTTAAGTCCTCTGTATTTATGAGCCCTCTATTTACTTTTCTTTCACAAGTTTGTGTTTTTTAATGGCTACAAATCTTTAGACTTATGATTTTATCCTCCTTCATCCTCACACCTCCCTAGGACACCCTTCCTCCCCAGCCTTTCTTTTCCAGGCTGAAGAATCCTTATCTGTTTAGTCACTCTTCACTCAGGAGCTATTCTGTTATTTTACGATGGTTTCCACGTGCATCGCTCTACACTTACCTACATTTAAGGTCCACTTGTCTTTATCATCCAAGTACTAAGCATCGTTAAATCTTTATGCAGTTCTTCATAGTTTTATTACCTTAAAAAGCTTACTGTGGTCTTACAAACCACCTCACTATTTATCCCTTTTCCAGATTAGTCATATATTTAACCACAAAGGCACAGAGAGTCCCCTCGTGATCTTTCTTCACTGCTCGTGTATTCCAAGCCTGTGTTTCCTATCAGAGAGCCAAGTATTTATTTTGGCTAGGACTTTCCCTATTATCCTAGAACAGATTTGCCTCTTTAAAAGCCTTCAGTGAGAAACTTCATATGAAGTTTTCTGGGCATTTGCATGAATCAGGTCCACCTTGCCCACAGAGCTGCTGGCTTCTTCAAAAAGCTCTCAACAGTTTCCCTTTACAAAAGCCATGCTGGTACCAGCATACCCCATTCATCCACATGCCTGCTAGTTCCATTAGGTAAAAGTTTCTACTCACTTGTCCGGTATGAACATTAGATTTACCGGTTTCTAGTTCCCCTGCTTCCAGCAGACTTAAAAAAACTGGCCTGCTGGCCACCACCCAGTTCTCTGAAACCAAGGCAGAGCTAAGCAAGCAGCTGCACACCATTTAGTTCAGTTATTTTATTCTTAAAATTGATGCTCATGGGAAGTTGCGTCCTGGTGACTATTTATTGTTTTACCTTATCTATTTGTTTTCAATCTCTCAACTGACATTGCCATTTCAGAGAGATTCTCTGATGGCCCTACACTAGACCCTAGGGAAGGGCTCTCAGTACTGGAACGTCCCTAAGTTCCTCTATAATGAACATGTGGGGGGGGAAAAAAAAAATCTTTTTTTTTTTTTCCTGCTAAGGTCTGCCTAGCCCTACAGATTCTTCGGCAGACTTGCTGCTCTTCCTGCGCCAGCTGTATTTTACAAAGTGGGGCTGGGGCGGGGAGGAGAAGGGGTGCTGAAGGAAAGCAGCTTTCTGAGGATTGTCTTACTGTATTTTTATGCTGAAGATGACAGAGTCTGACCGGTTCTATTTCTCCTCCTGTTGAGATCCTATCTTACTGAAGGATGTTGTGAATCTAAAACTCCTCCTACCCTACAGTTAGAACATGCCAGCTTCCATCGTGACCCACGGTATTTGTTCTAGTCCCACTGGAAAGAAGACAGCAGCAATTTAATGCCATATGCAGCTGAGAACGTCTAGAGGTGGATGGATGGATGTTGAGTTTAATTAATACAAATTATTTTTAGCTTATTTCCGTGAACAGTAGTCACATGATGGCAATAGATCATAACATTTTGTTCACTGTAAAATGCCTATGCTTTAAAATTAATCAGAACAGTGGGATAAGGTGGATAAGGTGTGTACTTGAGGTCTTAATATTAAGACACTAACATTAGACAGTAAAATGCATACAAAAATCCATTCCACACCCCCAAATTATGTATTCAGTCTGTTCAATAAATTATTCTGAAGTTTTTTTGAACAATTCCATCCCATCAGAGAGTCTCATGTGTCTAACACAAAGTTGAAAAAGGAAGAAAAACATCCTTGCTAATACAGAATTTTAAGGCCAAGGCAAGATGAATTTTTCCATCAGAGAATAAGACCGTGCACTTAAAAATACTAAACAATCCCCCAGCACAAAAGTGAATCTGAAACTCAAAGGCTACATGCCTCTTTCTTTTATTTTTTGTACGCTAGTAAATACTGCGAAGAATATACTCCTCAACGCACATTCTGATGGAGAAGTTGCAAGAGTATTTAAAGCAAGGTGAACACAACATATTATCCATGAAGAAAAAGTGAGAAAACATATGGTTACATTTTTAACTTCAATTAAACGCTACTGCATTCTTTCTCCCACAAAAGGCAGAACCCAGATCTTGGTGCTTATGAACTGTGCAACAGTGAAGAATAAAGCTGGAAGCAGCAACTTTCATTCCAAAACTTTTTTCAAATGGCGCAGAGTTCACTCTCAGGGATTAACATCAGCACAGCTGCAACATGAGATCTGAAGGCTTTGTGTTATCACTGTTACCATCAACTTCACAAACACACTATGCTGGTGATGGTAGAAATCTACAGATTTAGATTTATAGAAGAAAGCACGCTGCCAACTCTAGCTCAGGAAGCCCTTTTCCACATGGAGCCACTACTGATCTGGGGGATCTCTGCAGAAGTAGCATTACCAGATCAAACCAAACTCCTCAGCATGGACTTTTATCACCTCTATTTTGTTTTTCTTTTCTCCAACCCAAGCTACCACAGAGAGAAAGAGAGAGAGAGAGAGAGGGGTCACAAATGTAGGCCTTCTCTTTTCCTCTTCCTTTCAAAAAGCAGGCTCCTTAGTGCCTGAAACGACAGGCTCTTATTCAAACTAGTAGTGCACCAAAAGTGTACAGTAATCCTTGTTTTGCAGAACAACCCACTGGAAATAAACTTGTATGGAAGCGGCACGGTGGATGGAGAGGTTCCGACTACCTTGTTACACAACATCGTTTATAAAGAGCTAGAAGATTTTCCTTCCTTTTCTCACAAGCGCGATGACGACTAAAGATCTGTAGGCAACTGAGGATCCAGTAAATCAATTCTCTCCTTTCACAAATAGATGATATCCAAGACCCCAAAAAGTTTCCTTTTGACCCTTATGTTCCTGAAGGGAGGTTCTCTTCTTGCCACTACTCTGTAACAACTAGTAATATTAAAATTCCTTGGGAAGAATGCTAAAGCTTCTTTACCCGTACAAATATACAATCTTTGAAGAAAATCTGTGTTTTAAGTTCAATTACAGTTAGATTCTTACCTCTTTCTGTTTTGCACTGCTGCTAGTGCTGCTTTTTGAAGTTCTAGTACTTCCACCAACAGAAGCCTGCAAAATTAGACAAAAGTTCACATGAAACTAGTTAAGCCAACTAACCTGTCCACAAGCAAAAAAAAGCAGCAATTTCTTCCCTTAATGAACTTGTCTAAATTGTCCAGATTGCTGCTTCTGATCACATGCTTGGCAAACACAGAACTAAGCCAATCGTCAGTGGTAAAGTCCAGGCATACAGTCTCTAGCAACAAGTCACAGGTAATACCTTACTTAATAACCTCTTCTCTTTTCAGTAACCAGTATCTGTGCAGGACTCGACAAAGCAAATATCGGCTCACAGAAGGACAGAAAGCTTATTATTTCCCATTCAGAACTAAACCAAGAACATAAGCTTATGACACGCAGTACAAACTCGCTTCAAAAATACCTTCCTGCAATTTTATCCAAGTAGCATTTTCAAACCAGTTACATACTTGAGTTGCACACAATGCATCTAAAAGCAACTGGTTGCCCGCTCTCTCACTATTCCATCTTGTCTGTTGGCCCACACCAGCTCAGTGATTTATGGAAAAGGGAAGGGGAATGTAACCTTATCGTCTCATACTCAACATCTGAGAGAAGCATCAAGTTAGCTACTGATCAGCCACACTGAACCGGCCTTCCTGCCCTCCTCACCTTGTTGCTGCTGTTGTCTTTCTTCATGCTGGATGATCTACTCTCTCTGTCTTGAGACTGTTTTGAACTAGCCCTAGATTCCACTCTTGACTCCTTGTCTTGCTGAGATGAATTCCTCCCATTGCCTCCCTTTTCATCAACAGCAGCACTTCTGTTCACTTTAGATTTGCCGCTGCTATCCGACAGACTTGATCTGCTGCCACCAGGTCTTGGATGACCCACTTCTTTTGATGCAATTTTCTTCTCCACAGCTGCTTGGCTTCGGGTCTCAGGTTTCAAGGAAGCTTTCTGCTCCTCTCCTTTGCTTTGGGAAGTCTCATTTCTCCGTATTGGAACCCTTGCTTTTGATATATCAGGGAGAGACACCACTGCCTTTAAAATTGTTTTACTAACAGAGGAAGATTCCTTGATAGATAAAGATGAGTTTAACAGAACTGCTTTGCAGGTTTCAGTTTTCGCTTGTTCTGCTCCTTTGTTTTGATGTGCTTTGATTAAATTTCCCTCGTTGCTTTCATTCACAATTTTTTCAGCGTTTTCAACACCTGCCCCAACCTTGGCCAGAGATTTTTCAAGCTTCTTCTCTGCCTCTGCCCCAGTCTTGGTCAAAAGCTTTTCAGGCTTATCCTCTGTAGCTGTTCCAACTTTGAGCACAGACTCTTCTGATTTCATGCCTATGTCGGCTCCAGCTACGTCCAGTTTCTTTTCCGTGGCTGTCCCAATTTTAAGTACAAGTTTCTTTTCTGTTATCCTCCCACTCTGAGTCCCAGGCATTTCAGTTTCAGTTCTCACAGCATCAGAAACAGGGTTTTTTTCAGGAGCATCCAACTTGTTGTTTTGTTGAGCGTCAACAGATGACATCATCTTCACGGAGGCTGCATCAGACTCAGGGGGCGCTGCTTCAGAGACAGCCCCTGTTGTTTCCCCTGCTGCCGGCTTCGCAGCAGAATCTGACTGCGCACCTTCCAGCTTGCCCACGTCAGCTAATTCCTCTGATGGGTCAACGGCAGGAACAGATAGTTCTTCAGCTTCCACTCTCATTTCCCTCTCTGGTGCAGATACAATTGCAGATTCAAATGGGACTGATTCAGAATTATCTTTAACTGCCTCTTCTTTGTGAACACTGGAGGGAGACAGTTGCATCTCTTCTGACTTTACTTCACATGTTTCAGGATCAGCTGCTTTGATAGATGAAACGGTAACTTCAACTCCGACTTCCATTTTCCCCACAGACGTTTCTGGCAGTCTTGCAGCACACTCCCTTACAAGATGGGACTCAGAGGGCTCTATCTGCAATGCTGACATCTCGACTTTGACATTAGAGATGGAAATGTGTTCTTTCTTTGCCACACTAGGCTCTACTGGAGGATTAGCAGCTGCTGTCTGCACCACTCCTGATCCCTCTGGATATTTTTTCAAGTCAGAGCTAAATGTATTTAAAAAAAACAGAAGAAATCAAACTATGTTGAGAATTCTATAGTTAGCAGTAACCTCTTGACGCCAATGGTGGGGGATTTCCTGATGCTTTAGTGCTTAGCATTTGGAAATCTAGCCTATCAGCGTTAAAATGGTTTAAAATATTGAGGCAAATAGTCGATTAGTTTTATGCTTTTGTTTAATCCACCTCAGTACTGCAAGACACGCATACCTCAAATTACATTACTCGTAGTTAGACCTCTCTCAAGGTAGTACTCACTATAACGTGCCCTGTGACCTCAGAGCTGACATGAGCTCTTCAAATTTAGATCCCCTGATGCACAGCAACCTGTGAAAGCACGTACACTGAGACGACAAAGCCTCCGTCTTCCCGTACAAAGGAATTTCCACAGTTTTGTTACGTTTGAAGACAGTAGACTCTGTAGTCACTAACCTAGAAAACTCATCCAGGAGTTAGGAGTCTGAAATTTGTTCATTTTTTGGTTTGGTTTGGGGGTTTTTAAATCATATCGATCTCGCACAGTAGCGGGGAACCCAATAGACACACATAAGTTCCTTTTGGCCAGGTTGTTTTCACTGTTTCACTATTCTTCCTGTCAGCTCCCAAGATAATAAAGCCCAAGATGACAACGCAGAGGATAGTACTTTTCAGAGAACTTCAGTTACAGTCAAGTTCACTATTCTTCTCTGAAAGAAAGAATCCTCCATAGATGCTCTTGGGAAACTTCAAAATTATATAGAGAAGTCTACGCCCCTTTTCCCACAAAGCTCAAGAAAATGAGCATCCTAGTACCACATGCATGTCAAGATGGAAAGGTGCTGAAATACCAATTCTGACATTCTAGCCAAGTGCTGAAACAAACACAGAAGCAGCAGACAAATACAATTAATCAGTGGTTATGCACAATGGAGCAGACTGTAGTACGGTTTCTCAGAACCTAGGTATATGCATAAAGAGCACACATTTGTACAAATCCTCATGAAAATAAAAGAGATAAGAAAATATTGCCATTTCGGCAATACTCCTAGCGTGTTGTCATCAAGAGAAAGGAAGGCTAGATCAAATGGAACGCAGCGCTGGCGAAAATACCAACTCTTGAAGCAGCCAGACGTGAGAGTTAGTAAGACGAAGACGTAATACATGGAGTTAACAAAGATGAAAACAGGCAAACTCAGTTAAAATCTGCGCTCTGTAAGCACAACAAAAACACCAATAATCTTGAAGGTTTCCTCCAGACCCGATGGCACTTTCATCTGCTGTTACAAAATGCGAGAGGAGAAAGAAGAAGGGATATGAATTCTGCTTCAAAATCTACTACAATACCAACTTAAAATTGGCACGGTTGCAATATGTCATGACTATGCACCAGATTTGCAGCAAAATATGAGGGTCCATACTGCAGTCCTCCCTTGGCAAAGTGGCAGTCTCGCAGCATTTCAAGATTTGACAGCAAATGTATCCAGGAGCAACGGACTGTGTGTGCTCCAAACAACACCTCTCAGAATTCTGGGAATTCCTCTTAGAGCCTGAAGCTGTTCAATTCACAGTTACTGAAATCTTAAGAACCACCACCTCACTCGCTCATTCGAACGTCACTCTTTTGTCTAAAAGTCTTCTTAGACCTATAATCAACTTAAACTTGTTACATCCAGATTTTTTGAGGGTGTGTCTCATGATCATTTGAGCAGTCAGGGCTGATCTGCTTTTTATGCGACAGTATCAGTTTACTCAATCACAAGAAAGATATTTTGACACTGATTTTGACGTTTGATTTTTAAAAAAGACATTGTATTCTAAAAGCAAAAGCCGTTTCAATTTATTTCCTCTTCTATTTCAACATACCACAGACTGAGACATTCACGTTTCACATGTCTGAGTAGCAAAACAGTACCTGGATAACTCAGAGCACAAAGCCCAAAAAGGCATCTCTGAAAGCCTAGGTTTGCCAATGAGGCGTGGAAAGCTTAACTAAGTATAGGCTCTAATGCCTTGCTAAACTGTACCCAGCTTAGCCTCCGTTTATACACTTTTTGCAAGGAATGGAAATGTGACAGTGAACACTGGAACCACACTCTAATTGTATCTTCAATGGCTTACACTGAGAAGCAAAACATACACATGTATTATCATCTACACAATGTCAAATGAGATATTAGTCTCTGGATCCTCAGGACTGTAATGCCTCCTTTCGGGCCAAAACATCCCTTCGTGCCTTCCACAAAGCCTTGGTGGTCTCCAAAAAAAATGTAAAGTGCACACATCTGATAGATTCGAGCTGGACTACAAAGTAACGAAGGAGACCTCTGCAGAGGAGGCAGTAACGTGCAGAGATAAAGATAAGCAAATGAACACGATGAAGCATCAAGGTGCTTGAAATAACTGGTGCAAGGACCTAAAAGATCTGTTAGGCATTGGAAAAGAAATAGCACATAGATCTACAAGACAGATTTCCTGTACAGAAGTTAGCATAAAAGGGTGAAAACAACAAGTACCTGATGCTCAGTTTCCGCATACCATGTCATTGCGTTAGCTGCCATATTCAGTCATTACTACCTGAGTTAGCAAGGGACAAGACTTTGCATTTCAGCTCTGGAAATGCCAGTACAGAGAACAGAGGCTGTGTCGAAACAGAGACAACACTTATTTACTTCTGAGCTGACGTGTAAAAATTAGTAGGACAGCCTCCGATTCTTAACACGGCAAATAAAAGTTTCAGCTATTTTTGCTGGAAAAAAATCAATTGTACAAAAAAAACCAACCAAAAACGCAGCAGCATCCTTGAAAAGGACAGAGGTATTCACATAAACACTTCCTTCTCCTCAGTCACAAGGTTAAATGACCGCCTGCCTGGTTTGGACAACAATCAGGCTTCGAGAAGCATTTCAAAATTTGTTTAAAATCACCTCATCGTCCGAGGCAATCGAGAGGGCAGTCCCTTGTGCTCCCCAAGTTCTGCTATTGCATTTCTCCCCAGGAAGTTGTTACATGGTCTTCCCATGTATAATTGTATTTAAGATATTTTCTGCTGCTTATAAAACGTAACTCAAAAAATTGGTCAGGTCACAAAGGCTTACAAGGAGGCAACAGCTGCCTCAAAGAAAAATCGGTATATGGTAACATTTCAGTTTTCTCCCACTTGTTCAGCAGCCACAGCAGTATGCTGAGCAGAAGCTGGGATCCACATGAGTGATTTGTTTTATTTGAACTATAATTGCTATCTAAAGCCCACCAATCCGGAATCAAAAAGGTTACCTGCATATTTAGGCACGTGTGACTCAGTAAATTTAGAAATTAAATGCTTCCAAAATTGACCAGGGCCTGAATAAAGCTTACAGCAAACTAGGAGCATCTAACTTTATTTTCAAAACCAATTTCTTTCAAAAATACAGTAACAGTCCAAAACAGTATAATGGCATTACTTTAAAAAGAAATTTCAGTCACAGAAGATGCTTTAAACATAATCAAGACTCTAGAACCAACAAATAGTTACTCTACAACTAGTAATTTCGCTACAAGCAAAGTGCCTTTAAAGCAATTTTATAATGGACTATATCAAAATTGTCATTTCCCATTCCTAGGTTCTGATGTTAAGGTAAAGTCTAAACATTTGTTTAAATCAATTTAAGGACCTGCATCGCAGTATTAAGTGAATGCTAATAACTTAAACAAGGAAGTTTTTCTTAACTTTCAGCATTTGGGAACAGATACTATAGTGCCAGGTGCACTCACAGAGGAAAGTGCTGCAAGATGAAATAAATAATCACTTCCTGGTTCAATACAACAAAAAAAATTTCTTAGCAACACGTATATCGAAACATACCTTCCAGAACCTGTGGCAAAATCCTGGCCGCAATTATTAAAACAATACCTCAATGAACTCAACAGAAAACAGAATTTCACCTCATTTTTCCACGTTCTTTTAAGTCCCAGATTTCTAGGCAAGCAAACATCAATATACTAGATGTCCTTCACACAGAACGCACAAAAGATTGAAAGAACTATGTAACAGTCAGTACATCTCGCAGCAGGTTTTTTGGCATGCATATATTGCTTAATAATGCTGAGTCAGCAATCTGCTTAATCTTAGACAGACATTCCATGAACACTAGCGATATATATATATATTTATATACACACACACACATCTGAAAGACATACCTTCCTTTGCTTGGCTCCTCCTTTTTCACTTCTTTTTTCACAACTTCAGCCTGAAAGGTATAAATCAGCATTCAATATTTAGGGCATCTAGAAGCAACAGCAGAGAACTTGCCTCTCTGACCCTGTCTAATTAACACTACCAAGAGCCCAAATTTAGGCATACACAACTTGAAAGATCAACTGACAGCAAACTTCTCAGCTGCCCACCACAAAGCATGTATTTCAAAAGATGACAAATAAAAGCACACGGTAGCATAAGAGATTTTACTAGAAATTTACTACACAGAACACGTGGCATACCACCGTAGCTTAGATCGTCTCATCTTCGAGACTGCAACGTTTCTGAGCAGAATTAGTTTCTGGTCTGTGTTATATTTGGAGGACGGAGGGTTAAATAAACACACCTTCTCCCAGACAGCACCTTCTTTCATATATTGGCGAGAAGGCTAACAACTGCAGAGCTCAGAGTGAACTACAGTTATCTTGGCAGGCAAGTATCATAGAGAAAATAAGTGGTGCACCTTTTTTCAAGACAAATTGCAATCCAAGTCAAACAAGTATTACGCTTCTATAAAAAGCCCAAGGCTAGACTCTATTCCTCAAAACCTGCTAATGTAGCTTTCATTTCCTAGAGGATGACTAAGCCTTCTTATATTTAGTTATATAGAATAAATTTAATTTTCACACAATCACAGAATGGTTGAGGTAATAAGTGGTGCACCTTTTTTCAAGACAAATTGCAATCCAAGTCAAACAAGTATTACGCTTCTATAAAAAGCCCAAGGCTAGACTCTATTCCTCAAAACCTGCTAATGTAGCTTTCATTTCCTAGAGGATGACTAAGCCTTCTTATATTTAGTTATATAGAATAAATTTAATTTTCACACAATCACAGAATGGTTGAGGTTGGAAGGGACCTCTGGAG